ATCCCGGCCGATCCCAGCACCGGAAAGGGAAACTGAGGCGGAGGGGACACGTGAGGTCCCAAAAAAGCCTCTTGCGACACCCCGGGAATGAGTCAGCCCCGAACGCCCCGGGATTGCCGCAAAACCGGGATGGGAGCGGTCCCGAGGGGGTCGGGGACATTCCCGGCTGGATTTGGGGACATTTGGGGTCTGTGGAAAAGGAAAGCCGCATCCAAAGGGTCCCGCTTTGGCCAAAGGGGGGTTGGAGATCCCAAAAAAAAAAGGGGGGGATTTAGCCCAAACTGGGGCTGGGGCATCCAGTGATTTTATGGATCTGGTGTCCCTCAGGATGCAGAATTTTGGGACACGGGAAGTGTTGCCTTCCTGGTGTCCCTCAATCCCAGATCCAGAACTTTGGGACGTGAGGTGTCCCATTCCCAGTGTCCTGTTCCCAGTGTCCCTCAGGATCCAGATTTTTGGGACATGGGATATCCTTTCTCCAGTGTCCCGTTCCCGGCTGTCACTCAGTCTCGGGATCCCAGATCCGGATTTTTGGGACATGGGGTGTCCCGTTCCCGGTGTCCCGTTCCCGGTGTCCCGTTCCCGGCTGTCACTCAGTCCCGGGATCCCAGATCTGGATTTTTGGGACACGGGGTGTCCCATTCCCGGTGTCCCGTTCCCGCTGTCCCGTTCCCGGTGTCCCGTTCCCGGCTGTCACTCAGTCCCGGGATCCCAGATCTGGATTTTTGGGACACGGGGTGTCCCATTCCCGGTGTCCCGTTCCCGCTGTCCCGTTCCCGGTGTCCCGTTCCCGGCTGTCACTCAGTCCCGGGATCCCAGATCTGGATTTTTGGGACACGGGGTGTCCCATTCCCGGTGTCCCGTTCCCGCTGTCCCGTTCCCGGTGTCCCGTTCCCGGCTGTCACTCAGTCCCGGGATCCCAGATCTGGATTTTTGGGACACGGGGTGTCCCATTCCCGGTGTCCCGTTCCCGCTGTCCCGTTCCCGGTGTCCCGTTCCCGGCTGTCACTCAGTCCCGGGATCCCAGATCTGGATTTTTGGGACACGGGGTGTCCCATTCCCGGTGTCCCGTTCCCGCTGTCCCGTTCCCGGTGTCCCGTTCCCGGCTGTCACTCAGTCCCGGGATCCCAGATCTGGATTTTTGGGACACGGGGTGTCCCATTCCCGGTGTCCCGTTCCCGCTGTCCCGTTCCCGGTGTCCCGTTCCCGGCTGTCACTCAGTCCCGGGATCCCAGATCTGGATTTTTGGGACACGGGGTGTCCCATTCCCGGTGTCCCGTTCCCGCTGTCCCGTTCCCGGTGTCCCGTTCCCGGCTGTCACTCAGTCCCGGGATCCCAGATCTGGATTTTTGGGACACGGGGTGTCCCATTCCCGGTGTCCCGTTCCCGCTGTCCCGTTCCCGGTGTCCCGTTCCCGGCTGTCACTCAGTCCCGGGATCCCAGATCTGGATTTTTGGGACACGGGGTGTCCCATTCCCGGTGTCCCGTTCCCGCTGTCCCGTTCCCGGTGTCCCGTTCCCGGCTGTCACTCAGTCCCGGGATCCCAGATCTGGATTTTTGGGACACGGGGTGTCCCATTCCCGGTGTCCCGTTCCCGCTGTCCCGTTCCCGGTGTCCCGTTCCCGGCTGTCACTCAGTCCCGGGATCCCAGATCTGGATTTTTGGGACACGGGGTGTCCCATTCCCGGTGTCCCGTTCCCGCTGTCCCGTTCCCGGTGTCCCGTTCCCGGCTGTCACTCAGTCCCGGGATCCCAGATCTGGATTTTTGGGACACGGGGTGTCCCATTCCCGGTGTCCCGTTCCCGCTGTCCCGTTCCCGGTGTCCCGTTCCCGGCTGTCACTCAGTCCCGGGATCCCAGATCTGGATTTTTGGGACACGGGGTGTCCCATTCCCGGTGTCCCGTTCCCGCTGTCCCGTTCCCGGTGTCCCGTTCCCGGCTGTCACTCAGTCCCGGGATCCCAGATCTGGATTTTTGGGACACGGGGTGTCCCATTCCCGGTGTCCCGTTCCCGCTGTCCCGTTCCCGGTGTCCCGTTCCCGGCTGTCACTCAGTCCCGGGATCCCAGATCTGGATTTTTGGGACACGGGGTGTCCCATTCCCGGTGTCCCGTTCCCGCTGTCCCGTTCCCGGTGTCCCGTTCCCGGCTGTCACTCAGTCCCGGGATCCCAGATCTGGATTTTTGGGACACGGGGTGTCCCATTCCCGGTGTCCCGTTCCCGCTGTCCCGTTCCCGGTGTCCCGTTCCCGGCTGTCACTCAGTCCCGGGATCCCAGATCTGGATTTTTGGGACACGGGGTGTCCCATTCCCGGTGTCCCGTTCCCGCTGTCCCGTTCCCGGTGTCCCGTTCCCGGCTGTCACTCAGTCCCGGGATCCCAGATCTGGATTTTTGGGACACGGGGTGTCCCATTCCCGGTGTCCCGTTCCCGCTGTCCCGTTCCCGGTGTCCCGTTCCCGGCTGTCACTCAGTCCCGGGATCCCAGATCTGGATTTTTGGGACACGGGGTGTCCCATTCCCGGTGTCCCGTTCCCGCTGTCCCGTTCCCGGTGTCCCGTTCCCGGCTGTCACTCAGTCCCGGGATCCCAGATCTGGATTTTTGGGACACGGGGTGTCCCATTCCCGGTGTCCCGTTCCCGCTGTCCCGTTCCCGGTGTCCCGTTCCCGGCTGTCACTCAGTCCCGGGATCCCAGATCTGGATTTTTGGGACACGGGGTGTCCCATTCCCGGTGTCCCGTTCCCGCTGTCCCGTTCCCGGTGTCCCGTTCCCGGCTGTCACTCAGTCCCGGGATCCCAGATCTGGATTTTTGGGACACGGGGTGTCCCATTCCCGGTGTCCCGTTCCCGCTGTCCCGTTCCCGGTGTCCCGTTCCCGGCTGTCACTCAGTCCCGGGATCCCAGATCTGGATTTTTGGGACACGGGGTGTCCCATTCCCGGTGTCCCGTTCCCGCTGTCCCGTTCCCGGTGTCCCGTTCCCGGCTGTCACTCAGTCCCGGGATCCCAGATCTGGATTTTTGGGACACGGGGTGTCCCATTCCCGGTGTCCCGTTCCCGCTGTCCCGTTCCCGGTGTCCCGTTCCCGGCTGTCACTCAGTCCCGGGATCCCAGATCTGGATTTTTGGGACACGGGGTGTCCCATTCCCGGTGTCCCGTTCCCGCTGTCCCGTTCCCGGTGTCCCGTTCCCGGCTGTCACTCAGTCCCGGGATCCCAGATCTGGATTTTTGGGACACGGGGTGTCCCATTCCCGGTGTCCCGTTCCCGCTGTCCCGTTCCCGGTGTCCCGTTCCCGGCTGTCACTCAGTCCCGGGATCCCAGATCTGGATTTTTGGGACACGGGGTGTCCCATTCCCGGTGTCCCGTTCCCGCTGTCCCGTTCCCGGTGTCCCGTTCCCGGCTGTCACTCAGTCCCGGGATCCCAGATCTGGATTTTTGGGACACGGGGTGTCCCATTCCCGGTGTCCCGTTCCCGCTGTCCCGTTCCCGGTGTCCCGTTCCCGGCTGTCACTCAGTCCCGGGATCCCAGATCTGGATTTTTGGGACACGGGGTGTCCCATTCCCGGTGTCCCGTTCCCGCTGTCCCGTTCCCGGTGTCCCGTTCCCGGCTGTCACTCAGTCCCGGGATCCCAGATCTGGATTTTTGGGACACGGGGTGTCCCATTCCCGGGGATCCTTTTGGGGGGACCCGGCTCCTTTCGGGGCTGGGGAAGGAATTTTGGGCTCCTCCAGCCCGTTTTGGGGTGGAGCCCCCCCGGCTCCCCCGTGCGGCTCCTCCCGCGCCCCAAAATCCCGGGGAGCGCGGCGGTGACGTCACTGCCAACCCGCGGCCATCCCAAAATCCGCCCGGGCAGGGCGGACCTGCCGGGCCGGCTCATCCTCATCCCGCGGGGATCCCGGCGTATCCCGGCCGATCCCGGGCGATCCCATCGGATCCCGGCCGATCCCAGCGGGATCCCAGCCGATCCCATCTGATCCCGGCCGATCCCGGCCGATCCCAGCACCGGAAAGGGAAACTGAGGCGGAGGGGACACGTGAGGTCCCAAAAAAGCCTCTTGCGACACCCCGGGAATGAGTCAGCCCCGAACGCCCCGGGATTGCCGCAAAACCGGGATGAGAGCGGTCCCGAGGGGGTCGGGGACATTCCCGGCTGGATTTGGGGACATATGGGGTTTGTGGAAAAGGAAATCCGCATCCAAAGGGTCCCGCTTTGGCCAAAGGGGGGTTGGAGATCCCAAAAAAAAAAGGGGGGGATTTAGCCCAAACTGGGGCTGGGGCATCCAGTGATTTTATGGATCTGGTGTCCCTCAGGATGCAGAATTTTGGGACACGGGAAGTGTTGCCTTCCTGGTGTCCCTCAATCCCAGATCCAGAACTTTGGGACGTGAGGTGTCCCATTCCCAGTGTCCTGTTCCCAGTGTCCCTCAGGATCCAGATTTTTGGGACATGGGATATCCTTTCTCCAGTGTCCCGTTCCCGGCTGTCACTCAGTCTCGGGATCCCAGATCCGGATTTTTGGGACATGGATTGTCCCATTCCCGGTGTCCCGTTCCCGGTGTCCCGTTCCGGCTGTCACTCAGGATCCAGAGTTTTGGGACATGGGGTGTCCCGTTCCCGGTGTCCCGTTCCCGGTGTCCCGTTCCCGGCTGTCACTCAGTCCCGGGATCCCAGATCTGGATTTTTGGGACACGGGGTGTCCCATTCCCGGTGTCCCGTTCCCGGCTGTCGCTCATTCCCGGTGTCCCGTTCCCGGCTGTCACTCGGTCCCGGTGTCCTACTCCCGGTGTCCCGTTCCCGGTGTCCCGTTCCGGCTGTCACTCAGGATCCAGAGTTTTGGGACATGGGGTGTCCCGTTCCCGGTGTCCCGTTCCCGGTGTCCCGTTCCCGGCTGTCACTCAGTCCCGGGATCCCAGATCTGGAGTTTTGGTACACGCTGTCTCTCATTCCCGGTGTCCCGTTCCCGGCTGTCGCTCATTCCCGCTGTCCCGTTCCCGGTGTCCCGTTCCCGGCTGTCGCTCATTCCCGGTGTCCCGTTCCCGGCTGTCGCTCAGTCCCGGGATCCCAGCCAGGCTGGCTCAGGCCGGGGCAGCCCCAGCGGTGTCCCCTTCCCTGGGGACATCCCGGCCCGGCGGTGTCACCTGGGGGCGCTGCTGGCCCAGGGCTTGGCCCCGCGTTTCGGGATTATTTCGGGATGATCCCGATCCCGATCCCTGCCCTGGCCCCTCCCAGGTGGGCCGACAACTTCAGCGCTCCCGGCTGCGATGGGACGGCGGAGCACAAATTCCAGCACCCCTTCCTGCAGGTGAGATTCCCGATCCCAGCCCTATTCCCGATCCCAGCCCCATTCCCGATCCCAGCACCCCTTCCTGCAGGTGAGATTCCCGATCCCAGCCCTATTCCCGATCCCAGCCCCATTCCCGATCCCAGCACCCCTTCCTGCAGGTGAGATTCCCGACCCCAGCCCCATTCCTGATCCCAATCCCAATACCCCTTCCTGCAGGTGAGATACCCCAGCCCCATTCCCGACCCCAGCCCCATTCCTGGTCCCAACCCCATTCCTACAGGTGAGATTCCTGATCCCAGCCCAGGTCCCAGTTCCAGCCCCATTCCCAATCCCAACACCCATTCGTGCAGGTGAGATTCCCGATCCCAACCCCATTCCTGACCCCAGCCCCATTCCCGATCCCAACCCCATTCCCGATTCCAGCCCAGTTCCCAATTCCAGCCCCATTCCTGATCCCAGCCCACTTCCCAATTCCAGCCCCATTCCCAATTACAACCCCTTCCTGCAGGTGAGATTCCCAATCCCAGCCCCATTCCGGATTTGAGCCCAGTTCCCAATCCCGACACCCATTCCTGCAGGTGAGATTCTCAATTCCAGCCCCATTCCTGCAGGCGAACCCCAATATTCCCATTTCCAGCCCCCATTCCTATACTTGTACCCCATGTACCCCATTATTCCCATTTCTAACCCCCATCCCTAAAGGTGAACCCCATTATTCCCGTTTCCAGCCCCATTCCTGTACATGTACCCCATTATTCCCATTTCCAGCCCCATTCCTACAGGTGAACCCCATTATTCCCATTTCTAACCCCCATCCCTAAAGGTGAACCCCATTATTCCCATTTCTAACCCCCATCCCTAAAGGTGAACCCCATTATTCCTGTTTCCAGCCCCATTCCTGTACTTGTACCCCATTATTCCCATTTCCAACCCCCCATTCCTACAGGTAAACCCAATTATTCCCATTTCCAGCCCCCATTCCTATACTTGTACCCCATTACTCCCATTTCCAGCCCCATTCCTGTACTTGTACCCCATTGTTCCCGTTTTCAGCCCCATTCCTATGAGTGGACCCCAATATTCCCATTTCCAGCCCCATTCCTATACTTGTATCCCCTTATTCCCGTTTCCAGCCCCATTCCTGTGGATGAACCCTATTATACCCATTTCCAGCCCCAATCTTGTACTTGTACCCCATTATTCCCATTTCCAACCCCAATCCTGTACATGTACCCCATTATTCCCATTTCCAGCCCCATTCCTGTACTTGTACCCCATTATTCCCATTTCCCCCCCCATTCCTACCCCCGATCCCTTTCCCACCTCCCAGCCCCCGTTCCCAGCCGGCGCCGTGTCCCTCATCCCCCAGGCCGCCGGGATGTTCCTGGGGGAGCTTTCCTGCCTCCCGGTGTTCCACCTGCTGCTCCTGCGGGATCGGCGCCGCGCGGCTCCGGCCCCGGCCCCGGCCCCATCCCGACCCTTCCACCCGCTGCTGTTCCTGCCCCCGGCCCTGTGCGACATGGCGGGCACCAGCATCATGTACGTGGGTGAGTCCACGCCAGAATTCCCGCCGGGATCCGACGGAACCCCGTGAACCGCGGAATTTCTGGAAGTTTCCGCCGGGCCCTGAGCGCTTTTCCCGCAGCGTTGAACATGACCAGCGCCTCCAGCTTCCAGATGCTGCGGGGCTCCCTCATCATCTTCACCGGGCTCCTCTCCGTGGCGTTCCTGGGCCGGCGGCTGGAGTGGAGCCACTGGTCGGGAATTCTGCTCACCATCCTGGGGCTGGCGCTGGTGGGGCTGGCGGATCTGCGCGGCAGCGGCGGCACCGAGCACGGGCTGGCCGACGTCGTCACGGGTATCCCGGGAATGCCGGGGCACCGGGACGCGGGCTGGCACCGCGGGAATGCCGGGAATGCCGGGGCCCCGGGACATGGGCTGGCACCGTGGGAATGCCGGGAATGCCGGGGCCCCGGGACATGGGCTGGCACCGTGGGAATGCCGGGAATGCCGGGGCCCCGGGACATGGGCTGGCACCGCGGGAATGCCGGGAATGCCGGGGCACCGCGACATGGGCTGGCACCGCGGGTATCCCGGGAATGCCGGGGCACCGGGACATGGGCTGGTTGATGTCATTGCGGGTATCCCGGGAATGCCGGGGCACCGGGAGACGGGCTGGCATCATGGGTATTCCGGGAATGCCAGGGCACTGGGACACGGGCTGACACTCTGGGAATGTCGGGAATGCCGGAGCACTGGGACACGGGCTGGTATCCTGGGAATGCCAGGGCACTGGGACACAGGCTGGTATCACGGGTATCCCGGGAATGCCGGGGCATCGGGACATGGGCTGGCACCGTGGGTGTCTCGGGAATGCCGGGGCACTGGGACACGGGCTGGCATTGCGGGAATGCCGGGGCACTGGGACACGGGCTGGCATTGCGGGAATGCCGGGGCAGTGGGACATGGGCTGGCACCGTGGGTATCCCGGGAATGCTGGGGCAGTGGGATGGCCTTGGGATGGTGGGATCACTCCTTGGGATGCTGGCGTCACTCCTTGGAATGGTGGGATCACTCCTTGGAATGGTGGGAAAAATCCTTGGAATGCTGGGATCACTCCATGGATTGGTGGGATCACTCAATGGGATGGTGGCATCAGTCCAAGGATTGGTGGGATCACTCCATGGGATGGTGGGATCACTCCAAGGATTGGTGGGATCACTCCATGGATTGGTGGGATCACTTAAGCACAGACAAACGACTTCCCAACTAATTAAAGCTGCAAAGAAGCGTGGGCACGAGAGGAATATTGGAATATTTTCCCAAAGCCATGGTGGGGAGTCACAGACTCCTCCTTTGTTTTAGTTTTCCTGATATTTTTGTTGCTCTTTAACCAGAGTACGTGATTCCTGCCAGAGACATTTCTCACTGAACTCATTAACTCATTAACGATCTTAACTAAAACATGCGGTATTTCACGCAGACTCCTCCTTTGTTTATCCAAAAATGTTTTTACATATCCACCAGGTTTTTAAGGACACATAATACGTATTAATTACCTGCCTGCTTCATATTGCAATTAGCTGAATATTCATTACGGCTGCATAATTGTTCTCCCTTGATTGGGTCGGTGGGGTTTTGACATGAGGCAGTGGGCGTGTGGGAGGAAGAAAATCATCTTCCTCACGGCGAACTCTTCACCCACGGCCAGTCGGACCTTTTGACCTGCTGGTCACGCTCTAAGCCCGTCCTAACTCTTAGGTTATTCCTAAGGACGGGTTTTTTATGGCTCCTGCCCTTTTACCACGCTCCATCTGCCCCCTGTCGCTCCTAATTTTAGTTTTCCTGATATTTTTGTTGCTCTTTAACCAGAGTACGTGATTCCTGCCAGAGACATTTCTCACTGAACTCATTAACTCATTAACGATCTTAACTAAAACATGCGGTATTTCACTGTCTTAATTGTATTTCCAGCCGGCTCCTCCACTCACCTGCACTTTTCAATTAGCCTGATTACATTTCCAGCTGGCCCCTGGACTCATCACTCCTTGGAATGGGGGGAAAACTTCTTGGAATGGGGGGAGTCACTCCTTGGGATGGGGGGAATCACTCCTTGGAATGGGGGGAATCACTCCTTGGGATGGGGGGAATCACTCCTTGGAATGCAGGATCACTCCATGGAGTTGCAGGGGGGGTCATTTTTCTCCCACTTTCCTCCTCTCTTCCTTTTCCCTGTTTTCCCCCTTGTTATCCCTGCTGTTATCCAGGTTTTCCCTGTTGTTTTTCCTGTTTTCCCTGTTGTTATCCTGGTTTTCTCTGGTTTTCCTATTGTTTTCCCTGTTGTTTTCCCTGTTTTTTCCCTGTTGTTATCCCATTTTTCCCTGTCATTATCCCTGTTGTTTTACCTGTTGTTTTCCCTGTTTTTTCCCCTGTTGTTATCCCTGTTGTTTTCCCTGTTGTTATCCCGGTTTTCCCTGGTTTTTTCCCTGTTGTTTTCTTTGGTTTTTTTCCCTGTTGTTTTCCCTGTTATCTTGATTTTCTCTGTTGTTATCCCGGTTTTCCCTGTTTTTTTCCCTGTTGTTTTCCCTGGTTTTTTCCCCCTGTTGTTTTCCCAATTTTCCCTGGTTTTTTCCCTATTCTTTTCCCTGTTTTTTTCCCTGTTTTTTCCCTGTTTTTTTCCCCCTGTTGTTATCCAAATTTTCCCTGTTCTTTTCCCTGTTTTTTCCCCTGTTGTTATCCCTGTTCTCCCTGTTGTTTCCCCTGTTTTTTTCCCAATTTTCCCTGTTCTTTTCCCTGTTTTTTTCCCTGTTGTTTTCCCTGGTTTTTTTTCCCCTGTTGTTATCCCAATTTTCCCTGTTCTTTTCCCCGTTCTTTTCCCTGTTGTTTCCCCTGTTTTTTTCCCAATTTTCCCTGTTCTTTTCCCTGTTTTTTTCCCTGTTCTTTTCCCCGTTCTTTTCCCCATTGTTATCCCGATTTTCTCTGTTGCTTTCCCCATTCTTTTCCCTGTTGTTATCCCGATTTTCCCATTGTTACCCCGTTTTTCCCTCTTTTCCCAGGTGACCTCCTGATCCTGCTGGCCCAAGGCATCGTGTCCATCCAGATGGTGCTGGAGGAGAAATTCATCTTCAGCCACGACGTCCACCCGCTGCGCGCCGTGGGCACCGAAGGTCCGCGATCCCCCCCGCTCCCCGAAATCCCCGAATCCCCTCCAGCGGGAATTCCGCAGAAAAGATCCGCGGAAAAGATCCGTGGAAAAGATCCGCGGAAAAGATCTGTGGAAAAGATCCGCGGAAAAGACGCGAAACTCCCCGCAGGTCTCTTCGGCTTCTCCATCCTGGCGCTGCTGCTGGCGCCGCTGTCCTTCATCCCGGCGGGCCGGCTCTCCGGGAACCCGCGCGGCGCGCTGGAGGATCCCGCGGACGCCTGGTGCCAGATCCGCCGGGATCCCCGGATCCTGGCGCCGCTGCTGGCCAACGTGGGCAGCATCTCCTTCTTCAACTTCGCGGGGCTCAGCGTGACGCGGGAGCTGAGCGCGACCACGCGCACGGTGCTGGACAGCCTGCGCACGCTGCTGGTCTGGGCGCTCAGCCTGGCGCTCAGCTGGGAGCACTTCCACGCCCTCCAGATCCCGGGGTTCGCCCTGCTCCTGGCCGGAGCCGCGCTCTACAACGGCCTGCACCGCGCCCTGCGCCGCGCCGGGAATAACGGGGACACCGGGAATAATAACGGGGACAGCGGGAATAGCGGGGACAGCGGCCAGGAGAGGGAAGCGCTGCTGGGAGGGGATGGGGACGGTGACAACAGCCAGGGATGAGCGGAGGTTCCTTGGGATCGGCGTGGCGCGGAGTGGGATTGGGAATTGTCCCCGCAGGGAATGTCGGCCAGGGGTGGAGAGGCTGTGCCGGCTCTTCCCGCTGGGATACGGACCCACAGCCAGCTGTGCTGGAGCCTCTGCCCCATTCCCAGAGGATTGGGATTGGGATTGGGGCCACAGCCAGCTCTCCTGAGCCTCTGCCCCATTCCCTTGGGATTGGGATTGGGATTGGGGCCACAGCCAGCTCTCCTGAGCCTCTGCCCGATTCCCTTGGGATTGGGACTGGATTGGGGTTGGGATTGGGATTGGGATGGGGATTGGGATTGGGATGGGGATTGGGATTGGGATTGGGGCCACAGCCAGCTCTCCTGAGCCTCTGCCCAATTCCCTTGGGATTGGGACTGGATTGGGATTGGGGTTGGGATTGGGATTGGGATTGGGGCCGCAGCTGGCTGTGCCAGAGCCTCTGCCCCATTCCCAGGGGATTGGGACTGGATTGGGATTGGGATTGGGGGCCACAGCCGGCTCTGCCGGAGCCTCTGCCCCATTCCCAGGGGATTGGGATGGGATTGAGACTGGATTGGGATGGCATTGGGATTAGGATTGGGTTTGGGATTGGGATGGGTTTGAGCCTGGATCCACTCCCTTCCCAACCCATGTTCCCAATAAAGCCCCTCTGCCCATTCCATGGGGAGCTCTGGGGGGATCCTGCAGGACTTTGGGAATTCTCAGGGATGGCAAAGGACAGGGACTGTCCCCAGGGGTGTCCCAGCAGGATTTATTCCCCAGGGTCTCATCTGGGGGATCAGGACATGGCAGTTCCCCTGGCAGGGAAGCTCTTCCCTGGCCATGAGGGCCTGGAGGTCCCATCCCGATGGGATCCGGCTGATCCTCGGTGTCCCATGGGATGGGGACAGGCCCTGGCACTGGGATCCGTGAACTGGGACAGGCCCTGGCACTGGGATCCGTGTCCATGGCACTGGGACAGGCCCTGGCACTGGGATCCGTGTCCATGGCACTGGGACAGGCCCTGGCACTGGGATCCGTGTCCATGATCTGGGATAGGCCCTGGCACTGGGATCCGTGTCCATGATCTGGGATAGGCCCTGGCACTGGGATCCGTGTCCAGGATCTGGGATAGGCCCTGGCACTGGGATCCGTGTCCAGGATCTGGGATAGGCCCTGGCACTGGGATCCGTGTCCAGGATCTGGGATAGGCCCTGGCACTGGGATCCGTGTCCATGATCTGGGACAGGCCCTGGCACTGGGATCCATGAACTGGGACAGGCCCTGGCATTGGGATCCAGGCACTGGGACAGGTTCTGGCACTGGGATCCATGAACTGGGACAGGCCCTGGCACTGGGATCCATGTCCATGGCACTGGGACAGGCCCTGGCACTGGGATCCATGAACTGGGACAGGCCCTGGCATTGGGATCCAGGCACTGGGACAGGCCCTGGCACTGGGATCCAGGTACTGGGACAGGCCCTGACACTGGGATTGTGAACTGGGACAGGCCCTGGCACTGGGATCCATGTCCATGGCACTGGGACAGGCCCTGGCACTGGGATCCAGGCACTGGGACAGGCCCTGGCACTGGGATCCGTGTCCATGGGATGGGCACAGATTCCCAATCCTGGGTGGCTCCTGCTGGATCAGATTTGGGAACAGATCCTCATTCCTCAACTCCACAATTCCACAATGACGGAACAGCAGAAAATTCCGAGGCAGTTTTTCCTCCTTCTTCCCTCAGGATTATCCCAAAAACTCCAGAGGCAGAGCCAGGGCGTTCAACTCTACCTTTATTTTCCGTTTGGGGCCCCGCAGGCTCCCGGCAGCAGGAAGGGTTAGGAGGGGAGGGCTGGCAGCCATGGTGCCAATTCCCCCTGGGAAGGGGGATCCGGAGGGGCGGCAGCAATGCCCGGCTACTCTCTGGGAAGGAAGGAAGGAAAATTCGGGATGAGCCCGACTGGGGATGAGCTGTTATCCACGGGGGGGTTCGGGGAGGTCCCAAAGGACTCACACGGCGTTCTCCTTGAAGCGCTGCAGCGCCTGCTGCGCCACGCTCTCCATGAAGCGGGGGTCGTCCCAGGGGATGTCCCCGGGCACGGTCAGCGCCAGCGGCTCCGAGTCGAAGAGCTGCACGGTCACCTGCGTGTCCGGCGGCGACGAGGGATCCTCGGGATTCGGAGCCTTGGACAGCACCTGGAACCGCCACGCCGGGGTCATCCCGCGGCAGGTTCTGGGTTTGTCAAGTCGGGAGAGCCCCGGGAGGGCCCCTGACCTTGGCTCCCGGCCCATCCCGGCATCCGGCAGAGCAATTCCCAGCCGGAGCACAAAGAGCCCTTTGTGGCCCTGTCCCACTTTCTGCCTGCCCAGTTCCCAGCCCTGTTCCCGGCCCCAGTCCTCACCGTGGTGACCTGCAGGAAGCCGTCGGATCCCATGGAATGGTTGGCCAGGCGGGACACCCAGCCGAACTGGCGGTTCAGCTGGTCCAGCAGGCCGGAGGTGTTGAGCATTTCCTCCTGGAACTCCCGGAGCAGGGAATCGTAGCGGCGCGTGAAGCGCTCGGCCACGCGCACCGCGTCCTCCAGCTGCTCCCGCAGCTCCTGCTGCGAGGGATCCTCCTGCCCGCAGTCTGGGATGGCGTGGGATGGGGTCAGCACGGCCCTGGGGGGTTCATCCCACCCCGCCCCATCCCATCCTGCCCCATCCCATCCCCTCAGACCCCAAAATGCACCCCCAAAACCCCCCCGACCCACCACATGCACCCCAAACTCTGAATTGTGCCCCCCATCCCCGCTCCCATTCCCATCTCCAGTCCCATCACCATTCCTGTTCCCATTCCCATCCCTGTTCTCACTCTCACTCCCATTCCCTTTCCTGTTCCCATTCCCATCCCCATCTGCATCCCTGTTCCTGTTCCATCCCCGTTCCCTTTCCCATCCCATTCCCATCCCTGTCCCCATTTTCAGCTTCCCATTCCCATTCCCAGTTTTCCATCTCCTTTCCCGTCCCATTCCCATCCCCATTCCTGTTCCCATTCCCATCTGCATCCCTTTTTCTGTTCCATTCCCATTCGCATCCCCATTCCCAGTTTTCCATCTCCTTTCCCATCCCCATCCCTGTTCCCGTTCCCATTCCCGTCCCTGTTCCCATTCCCATCCCCATCCCTGTTTCTGTTCCATCCCCATTCCCATTCCCATCCCTATTCCCATCCCCACCCCCATTCCTGTCCCTCTTCCCATTCCCATTCCTCATTCCCATCCCCATCCCTGTTTCTTTCCATCCCCATTCCCAGTTTTCCATCCCCATCCCCAATCTCATTCCCATTCTCGTCCTAATCCCCATCCCCGTTCCCATCCCCGTTCCCATCCCTGTTCCCATCCCCATTCCCGTTCCCATTCCCATCCCCATCCCTGTCCCCATTTCCCATCCCCATCCCCATCCCAAATCCCATCCCCCTCCCTGTTTCTGTTCCATCCCCATTCCCAGTTTTCCATCCCCAATCTCATTCCCATCCTCGTCCTAATCCCCATCCCTGTTCCCATCCCCATCCCTGTCCCCATTCCCATTCCCATCCCTGTTCCCATTCCCGTCCCGGTTCCCGTTCCCATCCCTGTCCGCATTTCCATTCCCATGCCCATCCCTTTTCCCATTCTCATCCCCATTCCTGTTCCCCATCCCCATCGTTCCCATTCCTGTTCCCATCCCCATTCCCGTTCCTATCCCCGTTCCCATTCCCGTTCCATCCCCATTCCCATTCCCGTTCCATCCCCATTCCCATTCCCGTTCCCATCCCCATTCCCATTCCCGTTCCATCCCCATTCCCATTCCCGTTCCCATCCCCATTCCCATTCCCGTTCCCGTTCCCATTCCCGTTCCCATCCCCATTCCCGCTCCTATCCCCATTCCCATTCCCCATCCCCATTCCCATCCCCATCCCACCCCCATTCCCATTCCCGTTCCCTGTGCCCATTCCCACCCCCATTCCCATTCCTGTCCCTGTTCCCATCCCCAGTTCCCATCCCAGTTCCCATTCCCATTCCCCATTCCCGTTCCCATCCCCATCCCCATCCCACCCCATCCCTTCCCCATTCCTGTTCCCATTCCCATCCCTATCCCCATCCCCAGTTCCCATCCCCAATCCCATCCCCATCCCCGTTCCCGTTCCCATCCCCATTCCCGTCCCCATCCCTATCCCCATCCCCAGTTCCCGTCCCCGTTCCCATTCCCATTCCCATCCCCGTTCCCGTCCCCGTTCCCGGCTCACCCAGGGCCAGGATCTCCCGGCACTGCTCGCACTCATCCCGCATCCGCAGGCAGCCGGCCGAGTTCCGCCGGATCTCCCGGCAAACCATCCGGTCATCGCTGAAATTCCGGGATTCTGCGGGAATTCCGGGCCGGCCTCAGCTCCCCAAATCCCCCCCGCTGCCAGAAAAGCCATTTTTTCCCTGGAATTTGGGCCCCTCCCGTCCCCAGGGCTGCGTTGGCAGACGGTGACGGCACCGGCTGTGACATTCCCAAAAAAAACATCGGCTGCAATCCCCAAGAAAACCAAACGGCAAAAAGACATCGGCTGTAATCCCAAAAAAAAACAAACAGCAAAAAAACATCGGCAGCAATCCCGAAAAAAAGGCAACCAGCAAAAAAACATCGGCAGCAATCCAAAAAAACAACCTAACATCTGCAACATTCCCAAAAAAAACCACCTGCAATATTCCTTAAAAAAACCACATGCAATATTCCCAAAAAACCCAAACACCTGCGAGATTCCCTCCAAAAAAAATCAGCAGCATTCCCAGAAAAACCAAATATTTGCAACATTCCCAAGAAAACCATCAGCAGCATTCCCAGAAAAAAAAAACCACCCACAACATTCCCAACAAAACCCCACTCCTGTGCTGGCAGCTGGGATCGAGGTGGGAAAACACCCCAAACCCCAGCCCACCACCAGTGGAGCTCCTGACTCCCAGGTTTCCATGGGAATTCCCGTTAGGGAACCCTCTGAATCCTCCAAAGTCGCAAAGGATTTTCTGGGAATCTTTTCTCAGAATCCTCTGAATCCTCCAAAGTTGCAAAGGATTTTCTTTTCTCAGAATCCTCCAAAGTCGCAAAGGATTTTCTGGGAATCTTTTCTCAGAATCCTCAGAAGTCCCAAAGGATTTTCTGGGAATCTTTTCTCAGAATAATCCTCAGAAGTTTTGAGGATTTTCTGGGAATCTTTTCTTAGACTCCTCCAAAGTTGCAAAGGATTTTCTGGGAATCTTTTCTCAGAATC